CAAAGGTTAGCCTTTTGATCTTGAGTGGTAAAGAGAACCAAATTTTTCTGACAATATCTTTTGCATTATCCTCAAAACCCAAAATAAAATTGAACTACAAGCCTTGTTATTAGAAAACATAATTTTCATTACATAAATATCTAGCTATTTCAGTTGGTAGTCAAACAGAATCAAATCTAAGTGTCCCTATTATGCTTTTGTATTGTAATAAAGCTGTTTGAAAGAAAAGAAAGCTTTGGCTCTGAACCGCCTAAACGAATCCCAGTCTCACTTCCTTCATACGTAACGCAGTAACACTTTTGCGTAATGCCATCTATGGTCTTGATTAGCTGCCCGTGAACGTGGCTAATCTGAGCCTCCTCAAACACTGTAGCTGGTTCGTGTTATGTACATGTCGAGTAGATGATGTGTTCTGCTCTACACAAGCACATTCTCTGTGTAAACCTCCAAAGGATGAGGATGTGAAGAGTCAGTGGTTCAAATTACCACAGCGATACAACAGTATCATTGAACCAATTTGCTTATCAGAATCACAACCTGTAAGAATGATTAACTATTGATGTATTATTTTCTACTGGGTGTTCCTTGCGATGAAGGTTCGGGATGAATAATTAGTTCTTCCAATGTTTCATCATCGTAACTCACGCTTGGATTGATAAACTAAAATCGACACCATCGTATTCGGCCCGTCCACACCGGGACGAGTATCAGCACACGTTATTCGTCAGTATTTTTTCAACACGTTTTTTTGTTCACACCCAAGCGATTTTCGCTGACGATGAGCCGAGTGAACATGCAAATTCATTCCCTGACATTAGATGGTGCCCATTTGCCCAAGGCGTTTTTTTTTTTTAAATGACGCTTTTACGAGTGGCATTTTACGCGTCGGTGTGCACACTCACATTGGCGCCCTTTGTTTAGTCATGAGGCGTTAAACGTCGGCGAATAACGCGCGCGAAATTCGTCCCGGTGTGAACAGGCCTTTACGGTCTTTACAGTTCAATCACTGAGCTTTAAGAAGCCTTCGGAGCTGAAGTTAATGGGAACGGCCATTATGTTTCTAAGCGTTCAGGCCATCTGGCCAATCAGAGCAGAGTAGCTTGCGGAAACGAGGGATTTAAAGAGACTGAAGCATTAGACGAGTCGATTGAGAATCATTGAAAATGTGGTGATGGGGAAATTATATTATGAGAAAATTAAAAGTGTATTTTTACATTTGATGCATGTAAGCCTGTTGTAGGAGACTCCAAAAACAACATAATTTTTGAAAGCCAGTCGATGAGTGACGCAGCTTCTGAGAAAGTCTTCTTTTTCTTTCAGATTATCATTACGTTACCAGGGAAGTTATGCAGGCAGCAATAGCAAATGGGGAATTTGTTGAAAATGCCGAATTTTCAGGGAACATGTATGGAACAAGGTACAGCCCTTTTGGAAAGTCTTGTTTGAAGAGACATTTAACTGACATCCTTCTTTTGAAACCACTTGTACAATCCCACTTATAAGTGCTTGTTCTTATTGAATGTCTATAACTTAACACGCTTGTCCTCATATTCAAACTTTAGGAATATGTATGCTGATTCTAACTATCCTCACTTTTGTCCTCTTCACAGTAAAGCAGCTGTACAGGCTGTTCAGGGCAAAAATTTGATTTGCATTTTGGACATTGACATGCAGGGAGTGAGGAACATCAAGAGGACTGATCTCAACCCCATCTATGTGTCCATCCAGGCCCCGTCAATGGACATCCTGGTAAGAAATACAAATGAATGCTCTCTCTCTCTCTCCAAATATTATGTTTACATGTCTTCGTTTTAATCTCAATTATATAACTTTATTTATTTTAGGAAAAAAGATTAAGGGACAGAAAAACTGAATCTGAGGAAAGTCTACAGAAACGTTTACATGCAGCCAAAGTGGACGTGGAAATAAGTAGGTATCCGTTCCTATATTATAATATATAATTTTTTTCACATCTAGAATAGCATGCTAACCGTTATTTATCCATCTTTCAGGTAAAGAGCCTGGATTATTTGATGTGATCATTATCAATGATGATCTTGACACAGCATATGGGAAATTAAAAGATGCTCTTCTCAAGGTAAAATGTTCATCACTCGGAGTGTAATGGTATGAGATTTTGACTGTCACGGTACAAACATTTTCACAAGTATTTCACAGTATTAGGGTGCATTGTTAATAACTATTTGAATAATATAATTTTTAGTAGACACCCGTCTGATCAACACACAGGGCCCTATCATACAGCCGGTGCAGTGGGGCATCATGGGCGACACAAGTGCTTTTTGCTAGTTTCAGCCCGACGCAGTTATCATTTTCTCATCCTGCGCCACATTGTTTAAATGGAAAATGCATTTGCGCCCATTTATTAGCCCATGGGCTGCTAGTCTGAAATCGAGGGGGGATCCGGTGTGTTCAGGCGCATTGTTGGTGCGTTGCTATTTTGATCCGACTGGAATAGACTGAGCCATTGACCAACTGAAACCTGGGGCAAGTTGCATAAACATAGCCATTATGTTAAGACAGTGTCTTAAGAACTAGTTTGACCAAACTAGCAGTTAGTTAGGGGTAATTCGTCTTGCTGTTCGGTATCAAATTAGACCATTGTACGTTTTTATGTAACTAACTTTAAAAAGTTATGAACATTCTTGAGGAAAAAATTGGATGACTAACTTAGCAGTTTATGCAACTCGGTCGTGGTCTAAAGTCAATGGCGAAATTATTTTTTTTAAGTGTTGGTAATGTGCGCCTATAGAGGGGGTCAAACCCCACTTTGTCCCGTAGATCGTCTGGTCATGTGCTTTAACCTCGCGCACGAAAAGAGAATCTTTTAAAAAGAATGTGAGATGAGACTCTGGCAGAATTCAGCTTTAGTGATTATAAAGGGAGGCTCTTCTCTTGCTTTCTGTTTATTACACCCATTCACAATCTGAAGAAAAAGTTTTTCACACTGTAAAGTTTCTGGATTGACAGCTGTATTTAAATATGCATTTGAATCGGAAATTGAAATGATTGACAGTGATAAAAACAATTGTCGCGTTTTGACTCGTCCATTGGTCAAGTACTTAATTTAACGGTTTTTGCTCTGGTACTGAGAACCGGTATTGGTACTGATTACTGTAATGTTGGTACCGTGACAACCCTACTACTTTCTATCTTCTGTGTTTTGTAACAACATGCTGTGATCTTTGATGTTGCTCTGATTAGTCCCGTCTATAACAGCCACCCAAACCCAAGCTTGGGGGATTCTGGGTTGACTGACAGTTAAATTAATGGAGAATTTAGACATTTCTGAACATAATTGAATGTATAATAATGGAAATCTAATACACAGACACCACCTGTATGTAAAATCCCAGAGTACTGCAAAATTTGGCATACCATTACATCCTTTTACATCATTTAAAAATCCCCCTCGCGTCTTCCCTCATCTGTATAACACCTAGTCTCATGTGAAAATATTTCTCTTCCTCTAACAGGAAATCCAAAAGGTCAGAGACGCCAACAAATCCTAGAAGAGAACACACTTGCCAACAACAGCGACCTCTCTATTCTCTTCCATTTTCTAAAGTTGTCAGATCGGAACATTCCACCCAGGGAAGACTTTATGAAGTTCGGTCAATACTCCAACAAAGCTGAATGTAACGCATATTCATGACTAAAAGGTGCAGACTAATATATTCCATGTTCTGTATATTATTTTGACCAAGTATGTTACTTACTTTCAGGGCTAAAGCTAAAAAACATGTATGATTCAACCAAGAAACACTCTAAAACTCTCAAGGCTTTGTCTTTGAACCGGTTTCTGTTTTTATTTTGTATACCGAAGGAAGATGGATATATCTTGGCTATATTGATTGCTGTATCTATTTGGTATTGATGTATCGAACGAGCATGTTCACTAATTTATTGTTTTTCCTTTTATGATAACTAAGATTTTGTCTTTGTTGCTGCTGTATACACATTGGAAAAGCAGCTGTTTGCGATATTTAAACATTCTAGCTATTATCTGCACATATAGGCAGTGTGTTACACCTGCTTTTATTAATACGATAGCATCTGAACATCTGATATTGCAAGACTTATTTTTCTTACTATTTCTTAAAAAAATGGTAATGGTTGCTTCTCATATGCTGGTGTTTTGGAATCCATAATCACGATTCACAGACACATTACATGCATATTGCTCATTAAAGTGAGATTTTGTTCTTTTTTTAACATAACGTGATCTGTTTATTTGATAAAGTTCAAGAAAATATAGGTGTGGTTTCAGGCTTTTAGTGTAAGGCAGCTCATAAACACAGCCACAGTAAGTTTAGGACACACACAGCTGGTCTTTAACAGATGTTCAAATTGCTCCAGCGATTCTAATATGTCCCTGTCAAACGAAATCATTTGGAAACCAAAGTAAAACATCGTTTTAAAATCTGAAACTAGTCTTTTTTTTTTCTTGTCAATTTGTTTACACTCTTGTTTATTAGCCGTCGAAACATTTTTTTAAACTGATTTTTACACGAGTAAATGCATTGATAGACGTGAAAGAAATATTTATTTCTTTCCCATGTGTAATATCATGAACTATGTGGTTCCAGTTTACCTGATATAATGTTATAACATAATAGACTGACTTTTAAAATGCTTCTTGTATTTTCCTGTTGAGCAAATACACTGTGACCACAGTTCAGCAGAAGTTTATATTCGTTTCTCCCAAACCTTTAAAAAACTATGTGTGACTTATCCATCGAGTGTGAAAACAATGTAATATGATGTAAATTGTGGTGTATACACATACATAAAGATTATCAAATGGGGAAAAAAGGTTTTCTTAAAATGGCACAATTGTAAAATCACCAGACACCTGCTGTTTATGACATGGAGAACGATCATGTGTATGTTGCGTAACAACTGCTTATAATTTGGTTTTCGCATATACAAGTTGACCGATTTGGGGTTTTTTAATGTCTCTAGTGTCTTACAATCAGAGTTTATTTTATTCCGTGGTGCATCGTAAATATTTTGTTGAAAGAGACCTGTCAAACATTTGTGGTGTGAATGAAATCTGAAAATGCATTTAATGTATAACTATATTTAATGTCATTGTTTTCTATTTTATTCTAACTCTTTGTACATGTACCCTGCAGGTGTAATAAAACTACACTATTACAGTGAAATACATGACTGACTAGTTGTCAATAGAAATGTACATTGTGAGATCATATTTGCAACGACAAAAATACAAACAGATCATAAAATAACAATTAAAATCCAATTTACACTTTGCTTATAGTTGTACTTCAAGTTACTCATTTTGATCTGATATTACAGTAGGTCTGTGTCTGTAGAATCATAATTCATTAACATCTTTTGTGAATACTGTGATGGACACTGAGTCAGATATGACAGTCTTACAGAAGTGGAAAACTATTTAGTTTTATTCCAGGATCTTTTAATGAAATATTAAAGCTCTCAGCTGAACAAATTCTAGTGCTTAAATGTATTAAAATATTTTTAAACAGCAATCAATCAGGTTTCCACAAGCTTACAATCGTGAGAAACAAAGGTACAATACAAAAGTGCAAAATGTAACAAATAAGACATTCTGAAATGAGGCAAATGTGAAACTAAACAAAAGCAAGTTGCTGGCTAAAATGCACAACAACAATGAGATGATAACACCACAAACAACTTTACGCAATGGACCACGAACGGCGTGGGTGAACTGGGTGACCTTTTGCTGAATACTCATGATCTCCAAACTATGGAAGCTTGTTTCCACCACAGAATGAAAAATAAAGCTAAATGTGACTTTTTATCTGACAATTCAGACTTTTTTCCTTACAATTGCAAGTTTACACCCCACAATTCTGACTTCTCAGGATTGCATGATTTAAAGTCGCAACTGTGTGATTTTTGATATTTTTCAAAATTCTGAATTGTTTTCTCACAATTGAGAACGCAATTGGGAGATATAAAGTCGCAATTGTGTGCTTTAGAGTCAGAAATGTGAGATATAAACTCTATAAAGTATTATTTTTCTTAGAGTTGCACTTTAAAACTCACAACTGGGAGTTTATATCTCACAATTCTGAGAAAAGATGTCAACTGAAGTCTCAACTGTGAGAAATTCTAACACATAATTGCGAGAAAAATTCATTATCGCAATTCTGATTTTATAATATACAATTGAGTTTATATCTCGCAATTTTGAGAAACAAAGTGAGATAAAAAGTTGCAATTATCTCTTAAAATGTATTATTCTGTGGCGAAAACAAGCTTCCATACAAAAAAATAAAAAAAGATACACCTTTATGCTTCACTCCCAAACATGTCTTCTCAAGTTCACAGGTTTATATACTAGATCTATACCAGGTGTCCTCATTAACTCGTTTAAAAAGTGTAATAAATTAAACTGTAAAATCGGTTAGAAGAGTGGAGTGGGGTGATATTGCTGGTTGTGAACATCAGAGCACGGCTACACCTCCATCACATCGGCTGGTGATCATGTTACCGATCTCGGTCCATGTGTCCAGGTGCGGGTCGTAGATTTCCACCGAGTCTACAGTAACCGGTGCTGAAAAGTCCCGGCTAGTGGTCCGACCACCCACCGCATATAACAAACCATTAACAGCCGCCACTGTGACCCCAGCGCGCGGGACGGCCATCGGCGCCACCTCCACCCATTTCTCCTACAGAACAGAGCCATAGACCGCATTAAAAGGCGAAGCATTTGCATAAAGGGTCGACTTGATAAACCAGACTTCGTGGAATCCTAACCTCCTCAAGGCAATACTTTTCCACAGTGTCCAGTGACCCCAGGGCCTCGTTCCAGCCTCCGACAGCGTAGATGCAGTTATTGAGACTGGCTACGCCCACGTACGCCCGTCGGGTCACCATGACAGGCAGGGCGCTCCAGCGGCGAGAGATTGGGTCGTACACCTCAGCCGAGCGTAGCTCCGTTCCCTCATCACTGATGCCACCAATCACATAGATGAAGCCTGGGACATTTACACACCACACACATTTCGGTTAAAAGCCTGATAGGTTCACGCTTTATTCTACGATATCAGTAATTGTGATGTAAAAAAAAAAAATTCTCGTAAACTGTTCTAACTCAAATTTTCAAGGAGAATGCTTTTTAAATAATGACTAAAAAAGAGTTTGGTGCCGGTGACGTCATATAACAGTCGTGTAGCTACTAAATTGTATTTAGGCTTCGAAATTCACAAAAGTTGTGTTCATTTGTGAAGATTATCATTAACAAAGGTTTATGATTCTTACACATTTTTTTCGTCGCAGAAATTATTTTCGGCAATAATCCAAAAACCAATGGAAAAAAATCCTATTGGGTTTTTGTCGAGGGAACCAGTCTGACGCAAACTTCCTACACAAATATGTAATCACTGCTGTGCTTTGTTATGGACGATTGTTTTAACCACAGAGTAAAGCTTTTTAAAAGATAATTGCGACTTTAACTCACAATTGTGGGTTTACATTTACATCAGAATTGTGAGATTGGGAGATATAAACGGACTTTTTCCGTCAGAATTGCGACTTTGTATCACACAATTCTGACTTTATAACTCGCAATTGCGACTTTACAGTATATCGCGCAATTGTGAGATAAAAATTGCGATGAAAACTCGCAATTGTGAGATAAAAAACGCAATTAGTTCTGTGGTGGAAAGAAGCTTCCAAACTTTATAGTTATGTCCAGTTTATGAATGTATCATTCTTTTCTATCCGTTCTTTTAAACACTTTGCATGTTGAGTACAAATGTATGTCACAATTCACATTTTTTTCCATCATTATTTGACATTTCTACTCTCAAACTCGAAAACTTCTGGTTATACAAGTGCAGTGTTTCTGTGACGGACCGAAGCACGTGTTTGGGTTTCTGTTGGTGAGTGTCAAACACTGCATCGTTTCACATTAAGCACGTTTAACACCGCAATGAACAAAAGCTGTGCTAACCCTGCTGTGGAGAACAGTGAAAAGCCTTTCTGATGAAAGGAGATGTATGAAGTACCAGGTAAATGTGTTCCCATTTCATTTGATGGTGATTTAATGCTTCACTATTTCAAATAAATGGGTTTATGAAACAAAGTGGATGTTCAAGTTGGTCATCAATATGGTTCAGTCATCCATGAGGATGTACCTTGCAGCTCACAGCAGCCAAAGTAATATCGAGGAACAGCCAAGCTCCCAATAATCTCCCATTTGTTTTCTTCTGGGTCATATCGTTCCATGGTCTTCCCAATTTCCGAGCCAATCCAGCCTCCTGAAACAATAAACATTTACATGTATGCATTTGCCAGACACGTTTATCCCCCAATGTGTGCATTTTTCATCAGTTCATGCATTGCTAGGGAACCCATGACCTTGGAGTTACCAGAGCTAAGCTGAACTACAGGAATGTTGCTAGACGCCTTCATGCAAATCACATGGTGATATAGTGAAACCAAACAAAACCCTGAAGAGAGCAGCAGACTCTCCCTGCCAGAAAGAGTATCGATTTACATACCGAGTGCATAAAGCGCTCCATGACAGGAACAGACTCCAACCCCACAGCGTGGATAGGTCAGAGACGCCACTGCCGCCCACTGCTTGGTCACTGGGTCGTACCGCTCCGTGCAGTCGAAGATCATCGAGTCTTTTTCTCCTGTGCAATACAAGATGGCTTCACCTAAAATTACATTCTGAATACAATTTTAGTAGATTGCTACGTGGTTACACGCTAGTTTGCTTTATGTGATGGCTTAATAGCCAAACAGCATACGCCCATATTTTCATATTCTGGTCTTTGGACTCAGATCTCGTTTTCAGTGTGTAGGCATTCAATGATACCTATAAATCATTCTAAATCTATGAGAATATAGAAGTCCATAACAACAAGAAGGAAGGATATTATTGGAATCACTTTCAAAACTAATTTTTTTGTCCCCAGCTGATAAACACTGATAGCCAATCAGAATCCACCTTACTTAAAAGAGCTTGAGCATTTTACAAAGACAGACAACATAATCGCAGCACATGCTTATGATATACAGAATGTTATAGTTATTCTTTTTGGTGTGAACGGGGGACTCTAAAAGCAAACATCAGTATCTCGACTAAAATTTCACTAGTAACTTATACTTGAGAAAAAGAATAAAACAACCTAAGGCCTTGTTTTATTAATTTTCTCATTTATAAGTGAAGTTTTAGTTGAGATACTGATGCTTGATTTTAAAGTCCCCCTGTGGTGAAAACCAATTTTTTAATGTTGTTTATAGGTCTTATGATGTTTTGAATATGCTTTAAGACAAGCCATGTGTAAATTCATATGTCGACACCATTGCAGAGTATTTTCTCCTTAAAACTGCAGTGAACCAAAGACAGCCTCAAAAAAGCGGTATTTGACGTGATTTTTTAAGAAAACTTTAAATATGTCATTTTGGTGATCAAAGATGAGTTTTAAGTGATACAGTTATTGACTAAAAAAACTTTTGCTGATAATTTACTCACCCCCATGTCATCCAAGATATTAATGTAATTCTTTCTTCAGTCGAAAAGAAATTAAGGTTTTTGATGAAAACATTCCAGGATTTTTCTCCATATAATGGACTTCAATGGGAACCAAACGGTTCAAGGTCCAAAAGACAGTTTCAGTGCAAACTGCAAACTGTTCAAAGGGCTTTAAACGATTCCAGACGATGAATAAGGGTCTTATCAAGCGAAACGATTGCTCATTTAATAAATAAATAACAAAGTTTAAGTTTTATAAGCTCAAATGCTTGCCAGAAAGAAGGAATCTTTTCCCGAGTCAATTCGTTAATTTTGTTCGTTGAATGAACCAAATGACACGAAAAAAGATTCACTCATTTTGATAAACGAGTTTGAACAGGAGAGTCACGAACGTGCGTCACAGAACAGAGCAAGGCGACCATTTGAGGTTATAAAACTTAAACTTTGTTGTTGGTTTTTTTTTTTGTTAAATGAGCGATCGTTTCGCTAGATAAGACCCTTATTCATCGTCTGGAATCATTTAAAGCCCTTTGAACAGTTTGCAGTTTGCACTGAAATTGTCTTTTGGACCTTGAACCATTTGGTTCCCAGTAAAGTGCATTATATGGAGAAAAATCCTGGAATGTTTTCATCAAAAACCTTAATTTCTTTTCGACTGAAGAAAGAATGACATGGATATCTTTGATGACATCCAACTACTCCTTTAGTCCCTGGTCAGGTGTCCCAATACTTTTGTCCATTTAGTGTATTTCATAGGGGGTTCAGCCATGAAGTTATTTTTGTATGGGCCCTAATAAAGATGAGGCAACACAATAGAAAATACCCCAAAAAATAAACCCAAACAAGACATTTTTGTATGAGGCAACACAGTAGAATAAACCCACACTTACCCCCAACTACATATATCATGCCTTCCAGTACCGCCACCCCGAGTCCACTGCGGGCCTGATGCAGGGAAGACACGGTGGTCCAGTACTGGCTGAACGAATCGAAGCGTTCAACACAACTCAAAGCCCGACTGTCACTCCATCGGCCGCCCTGCAGGCGCGTGTAACCACCTATAGACAGGAGGAGGAAGAAGATGAATCGGAAGAGCATGACTAAAGGACTTTTGCCTAGATATACAGTCTGGAAGAGTCAACGATAGTTAGCTGTCAGTGTCCTTGTAGCAGGACATTTGGCATGCTTTTTTCCCAGCACTTATATTAGTAATCACCAATCATTTGGACCATTAAACACTCAAAATTCCTTCCGTGAAAACCAGGTTAAAACTGGAAGTACTGTCATGAAGACAGTACTTTTACTTATAAAACGGTAAGTTTGAATCCTTGATTCTGATTGGTCAAAAGCTGTGCTTTATTCACGATAAAACACGGCTATGACCGCTTCACCCAACGGATCTATTGATCGCTGCGCAACACTGCGGTTCTATGTCGTTTTTATTTGAGCTTTCATGCATTTTACACATTGGAACGTTGTTGCTGTTCACGCTCAGGGACTATTTTTTCTAGCGGAAGGGAGGCTTTTAGTGATTTTACTTCAAGAAAGTTGCACTAATACATTGTTTTTTTACTTTAATATTGTGTGGGAACCGTTTTATAAAAGCAATAAGGTATTTGAGGCAAGTGCTGTATCAAGAATTTTCACGATACAGCACAGCCTCTCGTAATTTAACCAGGCTTCATTTTTGTAATATCAACTTTGGAACTAGGTAAGACATTACTTTGTTTTTTCCAGAGTCTAAATTATTTAGTAAAATATATATTTTGTATACTAAGTTGAGTTTAGTACATTTGCTTTACAGTTGACTTTTTTTGAAGAACTTCTGCAATAATCTGAATAAAATAAAAATAAAGACCAGCTTTAGGTCTGTATTCCAAAACATTCATGAATTACAAAATAAATAATAATAAAAACAATAGCTCATACTCAATAGACAGTTAACAGGTTAAAAACTCTGTAGTGTACTCCAGGCTTAAGAAGAATATTTCCGCAGTACGGTGGCAGACGAGTTTACGTACCAATGGCATAGAGGTACTTGCGGGCTTTTCTCCTGGGCCGGGTCTTGGTCGTTTGCAGAAGGCTGAAATGTTTGCTCTCTTTAGGGGACTTGTTGACTTCAGTGTACTCTCTCAGAAGGGTTTGCAATGCAACCCGCAAGCTGAAGTCAGAAATACCTGTGAGGGAAAGTCTCATCACCAATGTGTACACAGAAACAAACCCAATAAAACAAATAATTACAGCTCTAAAGTACGACTGGATGAGCCACATTAGTAGTAAAATAAACAAGATACGCACACCCGCACATTTATTCAATTCTGTATATCTATTCATTCAATTCTGTATATCTAATGAGCTTCACTTTATTTATTGCCGTTAATACAACAGTTCTTTCTGGTTCTCGAATCTGATTGGCTGAGAGCATTTTGCAGCTGTGTGATATTCCCCCAGTATCAGCGTTTGTTCCCCAGTACACCCTAGTATCACTCCGCTTGCGGCGACTGTCATGGCGGTCGAGCAAATCCACCAAATTGTATTTTTATTTATTTTTTACAAATACTACTGTTGTTGTGTCACAGAATTTTTAGAGTTTTTTTAGGCAAGAAAGTAGTTATTTAGACCTCAAATATGTGACTCACATATAAACATAATGCCTATTTTACTATTTATTTTAGAGTTTAGAGTATAATTAGAGTTTAGAGAAGAGTTTAGAGTATAATAAATTTTGGGTATATCAAACAGCCTCATGAATCTTTTACAATCGCTAAAGCGCCTCTTGAGACCGGGGGAGTGAGGTTTACACGTACAGCTCTTACTGGCATACTCTTACTGGCAATGGCATACATTGTTTTAAAAAAATGTATTATGCATAATTTTTATGCTCTTAAATCCTCTTAAAATGTCTATGAAACACATTTTGAAATACTATCGCGTGTGAACATCTTCTTTGCTTTTATTATTTGACAGAATATTTTTTTCAGGTTATTATTAATAATAATAAATTTCCTTTTTTATGTTTAAATGTAATACTGCCGCCACTGTTTAAAAAAATACACCTCTCAAATCTGTAACAGTGACTTGACTACGGTTACAGTAGCTATACTTTCAGTCAGAAAAGTATAGAAGTTTAGTTCCAGAATTTAAGTCGGAATTGCATGATATAAAGTCGCAATTTTGTGTTAAAAAGTCAATCTTTTTTCCTCAGAATTGGACTTTATAACTCATAATTGGAAGTATATATATCACAATTCTGAGAGAAGAAGTCAGAATTGTGAGATTAAAAATCACAATTAAAAAAAAAAGTAAAAGATTACTTTTTTTCAGTGGCGGAAACCAGCAAAGACATCTCTCATGTGTTTAAATTGAAATGTCTTTCTATTAATTATAACCTTTGCCTATTTTAGACAATGTGACAGTTTCGTCCTATTATATCTAATAAGAAACCTATGGAAGCTTGTTTCTACCACCGAATTAAAAAAAAAATCTAAAGGTAATTGCACATTTTTATGTCACTGTTTATATCATGCAATTCTGAGAAAATAAGTCAGAATTGCGAGATAAAAATGATGAGTTTCATTCATTAGTGTGTCGCATTCTCATCTGAATCCCAGCCTCTCTAGCTCACCCTCGATGTACTTGTAGAGTCTCTGAGGAGACAGCAGAGCGAAGCGCACAGGCTCCAGAACCTCCACCACGTGCTTCTTGCGGTGGGGCACGTTGTGGTGCAGCCAGTCCATCCCCGCCGTGAACACTTGATACTCGTCTTCAATCCTCAGCTCCTCACTGCGGAGCAACTTCACCAGCTGATCTTTAGACAAGCTGGAGAACTCTTCTGAGGAGCGAACCTGACACCACACACATGACCGAGCACGGGATTATTTTAACGACACATGAGCTTTTGATTGGTTCTCAAAACAGCCATGAAAGCTGGTATTTGGAGAACAACAGTGGACAGAATTTACAATAGCAAGTTATTTAACTGGATGACTTACTATATGTTAAAAACCCTCCTATGCTGTTGGGAACAGTTTGACCAGCATTCAATTTTCCAACTGCTTGAAACACTGGTAATTTTGAGACATTTTCACATTTGGGGTCATGAATGTGCACATTTTTAACACAAAGATGCATTTTGGAAAGGCTGAATAAATGTTGGCAACATCCATTGGTTTAGGGGTCAAACTGGTCGACCATTTGTTGACTACTAAAAATCAACACTTTGAATAAAGAAACCCTAACAGAAACAAGATAATCTTTCATGATGTAGCATATCAAAAAATAAAATATACTTGAGAAATAATGAATTTACTCCTAAAATGCAAGTCTCATCTTGTTAGTAATTCAAGGAGAATTTACGTTTTGTTTTGTTTTGTTGAATTTTCGTCTATTTAAGTTTCACAGTCAAAAAAACGTTTTTGGTCATTCCTTCAGTTCAATTCACCTATACTGCATGTTTTTAGATTGCAGGCGAAACAAGAGCACCCAAAGGACACCCACGCAGACACAGGGGGAACATGCTGTGAGGTGAAAGTGATGCCTTACAATATTCATCCAGAATCAACTCTACCATTACAAAAACTCCTCTCTTTTCAGTTTCAGGTTTAAACCTTTGAATCAGGGTCAAACGAAACAGAGAAGAAAGAACACAATGCTGAGAATATTTAAAACCGAGACCTTGAGTCAATAAACCCACCTCTAGAAAGTGGCAGTGGATGTAGTCCTCAGTAAACTTCAACAGCTCCGTGCAGGCGATCTGCTCCAGAAAGCGATAGATCCCCACACAGTTGGACGGGTCCATGTGAGCCCGGAGGAATTCTCCGCAGATGTCCACCACCTCACTCAACTGCAGCATGTCTGCCGCCACCATCAGCTCCTGCACCGTGTCCACCGTCACGTCAATAGAGCCTGGCAGGAGCAGACGAAGGCCTTCATCAAATATCTTTAGCATTCATATACTTGGAAAACTGTGTGAAAAAAGCTAGACTACAGAGGATAATACAAATAGTTGATTGTTCAAATTGAGTTTTTACATTAGACTATTGCACACTATTTAACAGAAATGTTTTTATCCCTAGAGTACGTTTTACAGGTCCAGTCCCCATGGACATAACACTTATCTAACTTTTAAAATGTATTTTTAATAAAAACTCTAAAACTGATTAACTTTTTAATTATTAAACCCATCAAAACAAATAATAAACTGTTCTTCAGAGATAGCAGGCATAATGAAGCACACAATTGCCTGATATAAAAAAAATAAAAAAAAATCTGGTTCCAGTGATTATTGGATGTAGAAAATGTGCTTTGTGATGTAGTTTGTTTGGAATGCATAGATCCCATTCATTTATTATGTACGACAGGATTCCTCATATCTGGTGCTCGGATACTGCCCAACCCAAAGACACCTGTAATCAAGGTCATTATATTACAGGTCGCTGAGTTTGATCAGGGTTTGAGGGCTTCAAGGATTTAGGGAATCCTGATGAACGAGATTATAGCTGTGTCCCAAATGACGCGCTATACACTATGCACTTACACACTATGTACTTAACTCTTTCCCCGCCAGCGTTTTAAAAAAAAGTTGCCAGCCACCGCCAGGGTTTTTGACGATTTTCGCTAAATTTGAATGCCCCCGCTGAATATTTTCTTCCATGAATATATGAAGATGATATATATAAAAATAAAGATCTGAGCCTCTGCTTTTAGGCAAAAAAAACGTTTTTATTTTATCTTCATCTGTTCTTTTTTTATTGCCTCTTGAACAGAGGTAGGTTTTGTCAAAAATACAACATTTTGGACAAAAAACTGAGAAAAAGGTGTTTTTATCAAACAAGTGCATTTAAAAGCAGAATACATTCAGATGTTGTTTCCTTCATATATAAAACTTTCCAAAATAAATTAAAAACATAAAATAAATGTAAAATATATCAAATTTCCCAGGATGTAAGGGAAATGTAACTTTTGCAATAAAACTTCTGCCTCTGCCTCTCTGTGTTCTACCTGTGAATAATGAATAATTGGAATTACAATAAACAGGCCTAGACACACACACACACACACACACAAACACACACACACAAATACATATTACAATGTGGTAAATGTGCACAAAGAGAGAAATAATTTGACAATTACACCTTCCTATTTAGACAGCCACACATAAATGCCTGCACACACACATACATATTATAGTGTCATATACGATCTATCTGCGGCACGTCCATGGCTAGCATGAACATGTGCATCTCTCTCACTGACTACTTCCCGATCAGATTCAGAATGATCAAATAAAGAGTGATCGGACTCCGAGTCCATTAACCTCCAGTACTTCAGCCATATACCTCTGCATTGTCTGTCTGATACATTCTCACTACTCCACTGTTTGAGACGATTGCAATCTGTTTCTCTAAACAAAGAGTTGCGCAATCATTCAGGACATGCGCGCGGGTCTTCCTTACCGTATACCACCTAAAACACGGATACCCGGAAAATTCCGTGTTTGGCGCAGATGCGTTTTTTCATTAAACACGGAAAATTCCGTGTTTGGCGGGGAAAGAGTTAAAGGGTTAGTTCACCCAAAAATGAAAATTAAGTCATTAATTACTCACCCCCATGCTGTTCCAACCCCGTAAGACCTTCGTTCATCTTCGGAACACAAATAAAGATATTTTTGATTGAATCTGAGAGCTGGATCAGTCCTACATAGACTGCCTAAGGGACTGGCTCTTGACGGCCCATAAAGTCATTAAAGAAAAGGTTTAAATATTCCATGTGCCTACAGCGGCTCAATTATAAGTTTATCAAGCGACGAGACTACTTTTTGTGCGAAAAAAACATAAATAACGACTTTATTCAACTATTCCATTACTTCCTTATGGGCGCATGCGCGAGAACTGAGGCGAGGACGTTCTTCTTCGACTACTTCTTGTTACCGGCTGCTCACCGCTTAGGAGTTTTACCGCCCCCTACCGTATAAAATGATGATCCATATATAAGGCGCTCCGGATTATAAGGAACACTTTCGTTTTTTGAGAAGATTAAAGGCTTTTAAGTGCACCTTATAGTGCGGAAAATACGCTAATTGAAAAGCGTATGTACAGCGCGCATCTTCCTCTGCTTGTAAACAGAAAGTTTTGCGCTTCCAGCTATATCAGCACATCATCTTATACGGTAGGGGGCGGTAAAACTCCTAAGCGGTGAGCAGCCGGTAACAAGAAGTAGTCGAAGAAGAACGTCCTCGTCTCAGTTCTCGCGCATGCGCCCATAAGGAAGTAATGGAATAGTCGAATTAAGTCGTTATTTATGTTTTTTTCGCACAAAAAGTAGTCTCGTCGCTTGATAAACTTATAATTGAGCCGCTGTAGGCACATGGAATATTTAAACCTTTTCTTTAATGACTTTATGGGCCGTCAAGAGCCAGTCCCTTAGGCAGTCTATATAGGACTGATCCAGCTCTCAGATTCAATCAAAAATATCTTTATTTGTGTTCCGAAGATGAACGAAGGTCTTACGGGGTTGGAACAGCATGGGGGTGAGTAATTAATGACTTAATTTTCATTTTTGGGTGAACTAACCCTTTAAGAAACTATTCAACCGTGTAGTGTATGAACTTTATAAGTTTCTTTTGTCTATTAACATCAGAGTCCGCTTTGCAAATTAGAGTCTCTGAGTTTTTGCAGAACCCCCTCTGGCGACAAGCGGAACTGCAACCAGAGGTGTGCGCGCTCATCGATCACACACACGCACATTTGCACGACCTGTTCATAACCAAAGAGCATCAGCCGCACACATCTTTTGTTAGTCATAAATGAGGTAATAAAGTTATAAATCTGCAAGTCATTTAAAATATATGAAAGGAAAGGCATTTTGAGTAAATTACACACGTGTGTGTGTGGGGGGGGGGAACGGGTATAGTAGAAAACTTTGGTTTTTGTTTCCATCTATCTCCATGTTGAACTGTTTTATGCGTTTACTGTATCCACTGATTGTATCATTATGGAAACACATTCATGAACAATATAAGTTATTACTTTGTATAGGATCCTGTTTGAGCCCTAGAGCAGACCGGGGATCTCTCCATTTGTTGAAACTAAAGCTTCCTGGTGTTGCACTAGACAGACGTTTTATTTTCTTTGTCTTATGTGGAGTTCGCGTTGGGGTTTGGAATGAACAACAAGCCGGTCTCTTTGAATCCATCTTCTACTTTTGTCAAAAGTTGACTAAAGTTTTGTCACTCGAGTTGTCTTCTCTGATAGGGAGAATGGTGGTGAATACACAAACCTGCCAGACATAGCCAGGCGAGCGTGAACGCGTATGACGTCTCAAATTCGAGCCCGAATCCCTCTTATTTATTTTACTGTACAGGATTATAGCGGCAATCGCAGTGAAGGGCTCATTCAGCCAATCAGGCAATTGTTTAAGCATGTATGGGTGAGAAAAAGTGCTATTTTTAACATGAAATGTTGCATAATGCACCTTTAAAGCTTTAAAGTGTCCGTCACATGCACTACCAGCATCAGCCAGGATGCTTCACTTCGATTTGTAAATCCCCTCCCGTGGCCTCATGGGATAGTTAAGTGTCCAGGACACATCAGAATCTCAGGGGAAGTAGTAGGTCACCCGGGAACTTCTTGAATTTTATGTATTTGGAGACACTACTCTTTTGGCGTACTGTTAGTAGGGAAGTATTCGACTTCAGATGCAGCGATTGCAGCGTGAAATGCGTTTTGACCGTTAACTGTAAAAAATATATGGACGTAGTGTCCATGACGTCACCCATAGTGGGCGGCGCCGTCCATTTCCATCTTAGCAGCGCCTCACCGCGCGTCACTCCCGGATAAACGAAAATGGGCAAAGAGCCGGGATTAGCTGAGGTGATGTGATGCTAACAGACATACAGCTAGTGACATCAGCGACAATCCACCTGTCACTCAAGTGGCCACGCCCTTAATTATGCACAACTTTAAGGCTTAATGAAATTCAAACGGATGAGTTATAAAATAATTCACCCCCGTCACAGTCATCATGAAGGGCAAAATTAGCTATACAGACCAAAACCACTCTTTGCACCAGGCTGTAAACATATATTCTTCTGCTGTAAAGTTGGGCATTTTAACCAGGGGGTTTAAGGGATTGACACTCTTTTTGAGCTTGTCTCTAACGGTCAGTCGATGAATTGCAGTTTAAGTCATTTCCGTGTTGGATTCAAGAGAGAGACGGGAAGGTTGACACTTGGTTTTGACTGGAAATTCCATCTGCGATGATCAGCAGCCAATGAGAATCCAGGACAAGGAAAAGTTCAGGGGGAGGAGTCATAAACCTGAAACTGAACATCAGCAAGCATGGCTTTTCCTTCATATTCTTTTTTCACAGACAACTTGGACCGCAAGCTGCTTGCGAGAACTCAAATATCATTGTGATTTCACATTATTTTCTATGTCACTTCTCACATGTGTTTGGTTGTGAAACGTAGTTTGTAGAAGAGACAGAGTTGTTGGTGATTCTTTCATACAACAGCAACTAAATGGTACCCCAAGACAGTCGTGCAGTGTGAGAGAACAGCGACTTTGAAAATCATGCATAAGGCATAAGTCAATAATAGCACATCTCTCCTCAAACAGTTGGATGATTTGTGGTATCGTTCACGTTACAAGTTGAGTTTAATTCATTCTGGGTAGTAGAGGTTTGTTCAAATTAGTAATATGAATAGTGACGATGGTCATTAGAAAACAAACAACAAAATATGATTCTAACATACCAGTGTAAATAAATCCCAGGAGAATTTCAAAGACGTCAGCCTCCACTCCAGCAATGCGAACCTCCTCCTCGCGGGCTTCGCTCATGCCTCCAGAGAACAGAGCAGTGAAGTACGGGCCGCTGGCAGCCAGCACCAGCTTGTGGACCCCGAACACCCGTCCGCCCACCACCAGTCGCACGTCGCAGAAGTCGGAAAGCAGACGCATCTTGTTCATCTGGGCTAGCAGGAGACCAGCATGTCTGTCTGAGGAGTAAATCCCACGCTCACTCGCTGCCCCGGTCTCGTCTCCAGCCACAGAGCGGCGAGCAGACGGAAGAGACGGACCAGCGGAGGACATGATGATTCCAGCTGGGCACCACAGTAATGCTTTTACCTAAAGCACACACACACACAGACACTTTTAACAACGCTGACTTTCTCATTAAAAACCCTCACAGTGCCCTTACTACAGACTCACTAAAGACACAATCGAACAGAAAATGCCTAAGTTGATTTACTTAGTATATTGTATTTGATCATGTTTTATAAATTAGTTGTTTTTTTATTTATGAGCCATGCTGGAAAACAAAAATGTAAAACCTAAAATGGAGTGTAAACAACCATATAATCAACAGACTGATGTCAATACTCGATAAAAAGATTGAAATTAGGCCTTTATTCACATATAAACTTTCATCATTCACACATCAGTTGTGGTAAACAGAAGCTCAATTATGATTGCTTGACGTGTGAGAAGAGAACCAACGAGGTTCATTCTCTTGTGTTGTGCAGCACACTTAAGCTTCAGCAAGAACCAATGAGGTTTGTTCTAGAGTGTCAGGCAGGTTTAGTTAAGCTTCTGTTTATGTTCGCTGATCATCGTTTAAATGTGATTAAAAGCCTAAATAAAAGGGATCCTTAAAATTGTGTTATTTTCAGGGCCCATGTCCCGAAGTGGCAATAGCCCCTATTGTAATTGTTAGCTCTCTTCATCTTTATTATCATTTCTTCCCTTATTGCAGACCTATGAATGGAACATAGGAAAATGGTGAAAATTGGCACATTTCTTGGGATGATAATGACCAGTAATCTCACCAGCTTTGAGGTCTGCAGCACTACCACCAGTTCAAAAATGTACTTTTCAAAACGTTATAACTTTGTAACCCTTGATTCTAGAAAAATGTAATTTAGTTCACTTGATTACTCTCTTCATGCTGATCACATTCAATAGCCAAAATTAACTCCTCCCATTACAGTGGTGGCCATTTTGAAAAATACGTTTTTTCATTTTTCCACTACTCCACCAACAAATGTTGTCGAATTTTGTCAAAAATCTGATCAGATGATCTTTGAACCAAGCAGCACAGAAATGACTGATTTTTCAGTCATTGATTTTTCGATGACTGAAAACAGATTTTTATATATTTTTCTTCGTTCAAACATGATGTCGCCAACTAAACAATGTTGAATCTATGTTCAATGTTGAATGTTGAAACCAAAATTGAATCAGAGGCTGTATCTCAGCAAAAATCTGATCAATCGAAACGAAACTCGGTAAGCTTCATCGGAGCCATGCAAAATTTGGGAACAGCGCCTTCTACAGGGCATTCATTTGGAAAAATGCCTATTTTTTCTCATAACTTTTGAAAAGTTACATATATTCAAATAAAAAAAATTCTTTGTGTCAAGCCGAATCAGTGGATACCGATTTTGCCAGAACCAGATAAACCATCACTCTTTTTGTCATATTTGTTGTAAATTCAATTATATTTAGATTTGACATATCGGCACAAAATAAGGTAGGGATCATCAACAGGATGTCTAGAAGGTAACTGAAAATTTTGAACTCGGCCCCACATAATGTTTTAGAGATATAAGGATTGTTACGTACACTAAAGTACATGGAGCAATGTGTGTATGGGTTAGTCTGTTTAATGTTTCAGATTCCCATTGGACTAATAGCTGTCTTTCTTCATGGATTGAATGGTTCACGCTGCCTTTCACCATACCCGTTTAAATACCTGTATCTCCTCCATTGCGGCAGCTTTTCGCCTGATATGTTGTTTGACAACATAGCGAGTCCAATACTTGACCGATACATTCTATGTTATTATTTTTGATGTAAAGTGTACAGTTGCATCTCTTGTCTCTCTTCTCAAGTTGTCACATTGTGTGTAAGACTGAGAAGGAGAAAGTCAAGCGTCATACATTGAGCACCACATAGGAACGACCGGTTGTATTAGACACACCAGGTTTACGAAAGAGTACCAGTTGACCACGTCTCTACAACGTTTTCCATGGGATAAACTAGCGACCTCTTTTGAGGACGTACCCACAACGTTTCTGGAACGTTAGCAAAGATCTTAAAAAATGGAACTTTACTACGACGTCCTCACAACGTTGCCATAAAGTAATGTCACACTGACCAAATGACGACTTACTGACGACGTCGTCACAACGTACTGTGTTAGCTGGGATCCCTTGTATGATTTGTTTATTTTACTTGGTGTTGTCAAAAATATCGCTATTTCGATAATTATCGATACTGAAATATCTGAAACGGTTCCTTTTCTGCAGTATCATTACACCAATACCATTCCCATGTTCTCACCATCTCTTCTCTGCAAAGGTGAATTGACACACACCCGCCTCCTCTCACTCCCTTGTCTCATTTGAGCCAGTTGAATAGTGCTTGTATTGCGCAAAATTTCAGTCATTCCCGCAGTTTTTGTGCTCACACCAAAAGCCCGTACACCACGGGTCTATATAAGTAGCACGCACTTAAAACTGCATCTGAAACAGCTTGTGAGTACCAAATTGACTTCTTTTTCATAGCTTATTGTGCTTAAACTGTCAAATAATTCAAAATTATGTCAAAATGCCCGCCTTTCCGAATATTCAGGTAAATAGAGCCAGTTGTAGAATACAAATAGTTGAGAGAAAAGGCTTGTTGTGCAATACTAAATTCAGTGAAATCTGTGCATAAGCTCTTAAAGTGACAGCAGCCGAATAAACCTGCTGCTGTCTGTCATGTTCATCAAAGAGCAAAACAGAAAATCATTCGCTTTAATTGTAAGCATTAATCTGTATTTCATTTTTACAATGTAAACTATCCAGTGTTAGTTTACATTTGATTAATTTATTTACATTTTTGTAGTATTTCTTACTTGAATACTACAGTTAGACCCACCTGAAAATGTTTATTTTGGGTTTATTTCGTTTATCTCTTCATTCTATTGGATTTATTTGTGCTACCGTTTGCAATTTGTTTATCTGATCTTATTTATTGCTGTTTACTTGTCTTTTTTTAATGTAGTTCAGATTCAAATAAAGCCTCCCTGTGGCGTGTGTAAGCTATTTCAACAGAATTACGGTGGTGAAATGATTACGGTGTATGGCTGTTTTCCCCATGAACTAAAGATTGTGGGTTCGATTCTTACGTGATGAAACTTTATCAAAGAGTGTATTGTTATGTCACTTCAACCCCTTTGTTATCTGGATAAGCACTGTATTAATCTTTGGATTAACAGATTAATTATTTTTATCTACTTTTTTGGTAATTCTGGGATCACTGTCATATAAACTTTACATTTTAAATTAATTCTCACCTGAACTACTGAAGCTCGGCAGGTGAACATGTGTCTTCCAAGTAGAGCGTGGTGATAAGTAACATTCACCTGATCTGAAAACTATGGGTTCGATGGTGCAACCATCTGCGTGGTGCAACATTATAATAGTGAGTGTATTGTTGTCGTTTCAACTCCTTTGTAATCAAGATTAGCATTGTACTCATATTTTTATTAGAAATAAATTCGAAATGCTTTTTAATTCATTCATTTTTATGTTTTTGTGATGGTTCTTTCCAACAGACAGTATGATTTTGAGATCCAACCTTTCATAATGTGGACAACTGAGGGACTCAAACACAACTTTTACAAAACGTAAAAACATTCCCTGGTGTTCAAGAAGGCAAGACAGTGCATTAAAGCATTGAGGGGGCATATTCTATGAGTGAGTATGTACATCTACGTGCAGAACCGTTTTGTTATTAACATTATCTAAAATAAATTGAAGTGGACATTTTGTGTTCTATGGCTAAATAAAAAGCTCCTTAACCAAAGAAACCCCAAACTTTAGTTCAGTTTGGGCTGGGCTGTGTTGTTGTGTTGTGTTTTAGCTGTTGTGTTGCTATGAACTGATCACAGGAACAACCTGTCGAACCTGCAACCTTTCAGGTGCTCAGACCAGGTGTGTTTAACACAGATGAGCCACACCTCCTCCGTGAAAACCTGAAAGCTAGCATCATCCTGGGTGGTGTGGACTGTGGACTGAAACGTCCATGTTCCTGTGATAGATTTACAGCAGCTTGACATCTAAAACACATAACGTACAGCAGCCCAACCCCAAACCACAACAAACATCAGCATTAGATAGATATATGCTCAAACTGCAACACATCCGAAAATCAAAAGATCATTCAACAAGTAGAACAGTAGAACAAGTGCAGGGCGAGTTTCTCTGCTCAATGGACGTGTAAGCCTACTTACATTTTTAATTTCGTTATTTTCTCCACTTCGCTTATCCATATGATCATAGACTCACTTCCGCATGGGCATCGAGTTTTCCTGCATCGGCATTTCAGTCTGTCAAACCCATCTGAAACATATGTTTAGGAATTTTTTTAAGACTTCTGAACTGTGTGCCATGACTTCACGATTACCAGTGTTATTATTATTTGCATTTTTATATTTATTCGTTTAAATTATTACTTTTTATTGTGTTCGCAACTGGTTCGCAGGTTCGCAGCCGTTTTAACAGTCCTGTTGATGGCGGTAATGTGCAGAATGCCGTTCAATCTGAAGAAGAAGTAATCTGTTAGACCGAACTAATCGATACACGACCATGCCGATACTGAACGTGACTGAACCATGAACGTTCTTTTCTATTACAGAAAAATATACAAAACGTGCACAAACATATACAACTAGCAACAAATATATAAAGGAAAACAATGTATGCAGTAAGTTTACAATAAGTTAAAGTGATGCAATGCTTTGTAGTTCTTGCTTTTGTTAGCTAAAGTATGGCCATAATTATTGTTTAATTTCATGTATACAATTTTCACAATTGGGCTTGTCTTTAACCCATTTCTTCACATGAATGTGATATTTTCAAAGTACAAATTTTTATGAGGAAAAAAATCCTTTGAAATCAATGATGATCTGTAAATAATAATAATACATCATATAGATAAAATAAATCTGTTCTAAACAGTCTAGAAATGAAGTTAGGGACATCGAAAAGAAAAGATGGATCACATTATTTAGCAACGTCTTGCATATTCAAATTGAAATGCTCAAGTAACTCTTAACAGGGTAAATTCTGTGTCAAATTTTAAAGGAAACCTCTTAACATTATTAAAAACTTCTTTGTTATTGACCATACTTTTTTCACTGAATGATTTCATTTTTAGATGACCAAAACATTGGTGAACATGGCAAATAATTTCTCTTTTAATACATTTGTATTATATCTGTTACTGTATTTGTCTTTTGGCACTGTAACATTTGAAATATTTTAGTTGATTTTAATTATTTTGGGTGACAGAAAGGACATATAGATAAGATGATATAACATAAGTTAGCTTATATTAGATAAAGGAAAACATAAGTTAGCTTCCTCCTTCTCCTTTTTTTCTATATTCTTTTTCTTCTCTTTTGAACATGCTGAGATTTTGTTTTTATTATTTTTTGTTTGGATATGCTCTGTTATCAATGACCATGTTCTGAAGAGGAAAGGGAAATGAAAAGAAATAAAATTATTCATTCATTCATTCATTCATATAAACTACATTTCAACATTTCCCACCTGATGCATTAAATACCTTTTATTTACTTACGTAAAAAGAATGGAACACAAATACATACATTATTGGCAAAAGTTATATAGGTCCACTGTACACTTTTTGCTAATTTTTCAAAGTACAATTTCAGTAAAAGGACGTGAAAAAAATGTTTGGTAGAGAAATACAACATTCTATTATAATATTTATTTATTTTTATTTTTATTTATTTATTTATTTATTTTTTTTTTTTTGGGGGGGGGGGGGGGGGGACTTTACTCTACAACAAGAGTAAATTATATTTTCCTCAAAGAAAAAAGCAAGAATAACTGGCCAGATATCACTACATACAGGAAACAGGCCAAAACAATAACAAACATTACAGCCTGGAAACACACATTTCATGTAAAATAACTGTCTATGGGAGTGTTTTTCAGAGAAACGAGCATGTGAACTCAGCATGTTTCCTCAATATTTGCAAACATATTATGGTATTTTTATGCTGTAGTGAAAAAGTTACATACAGCACTTTTAAACACAGTGTTTATTCGTTCTTATGCATTTAATAGTTTAGTTTGGGATAGTTTGTCATGTGAGACACCTGTGTGAACTTGAAGAAACTCTTCTTTAGATATAAGTCTAAAAGTCATTTAAAAATGTTTGATTCATCCAGGCACATGTGTTTATTTTTATTTTTGTCACATTTTTGGAACCACTGTGTTTATGATTAGCATCCGTGGCTTTCCAGACTTGATGCTGTTGTGTTGAAGAACTCCTCTTTCAATAGAACATTTAGAAAATGGAGCTAGAAAATATTTCATAATCATAATTTATTAACCGAAGACAGAATCAAGGAAGCCAAAGTGGAGCATTGTGTGCTGTTTAAATTTTCCCACATTTTTGTAAATGATCTACAAATGATCCATAGACCATTTTTAAACAGTACTGTCACTATCACCACTGCTTAATGTGATGTGTTGTAGCCCCTGTTGTAATTGTTGCTTTTCTGTATTATTATTCCTCCCGAATGGGAGACAATGGCAGCCCTAAGAATGGTAGCCTACATAGGAAAATGATGAAAATTGTCACTCTTGTAGTGATGCTAATGAATAGAGATCTGACCGACTTTGGGTCCACCTACTGGTCACTTGTGCCAGAAAATCATGATCTGTGTCTATGGGTCCTTGGGTCATGACGAATCCGTGGATTTTTCCAGGATCGGGAAAATCTGAACACACAGCCCAACCTGTTCCAGATATACAAGGATTTTTGAACAAGCATTTATAACTTTTGAAAACATTGTCCAAAATTTGTTTTCATTATGTTCTCTGGTTTATGCCGAATCTGACAATATTTCAACTGTTATTTTACATCAATTTGTCTGTCCACCATACTGAAGTAAGCTAAAAAATAGTTTTGTTTTGTTTTTTTGCTACTACAAATTTTCTCCAAAATCTGATCATGTGATCACACAAAAATAACTGAATGGATTTTTGATATTTGCTACCGCTATCGAGAAATAAGTACCTGTTCGAGTTTGACTCTGCCTGTTTTTGTTTTCTAATGCTTCATAGCTTAGACAGCATGCTAATCGGTTAGCATGTTAAATTCTGTCCATTCGTTCTAATGTGGCCATAAACTATGTTGGTAGCTAAGTTAGCATAGCATGCTAACCAGTTAATATGCTAAGTAATGCTTTCCTCAGCATTGAATGTGCATCAGGTGATATGATTATCAATGAACACTTGATCAGAAAGTTGGGGGTTCGAATCTCATTGCTACTGATACACCAAGTAAATTCAAGGGCTTTATTTGTGTTTTCTGGCTTTTACTGCATGTCTAAAAAGATTCTCACCTTGAATCTTAATACCCGAACAAGAATCTGCCCTCTTTGTGACACTTAATGTTAAGCAACAGAATTTCCAAAGGAAAGTTTGTGTTTACATAAATCCAGTTTGACAAAATCAGAACCATATTCACCTGAACCAATTTAATATATTCTGTTAAAACATTATTTTAATAACCACACCAATCCTATAAAACACTTACTTTAAAAACCAGAGTTGTTATGTTTCTTCCATTTTCTTTCTTTCTTTAGCTACTTTTTGAATGAACTCATGGAACTAATGGAGGGGTTCAGCCCCATTATTGATAGCCTACTGGCAGCCATATTTAAAAACTTTTGTTATGTTTTAAATTTAAGAGCTCAAAAAGAAATGGATTATTTTGTACAAATTACAGTATTTGTGTGGGTATTTTCATGTGATGTAATAGAGAATCAGTCTATACTGCATGTATTATGAACATAAGCCACAATAGGATTGGATATCTACAAATGTCCTCATCTGACAGCGTAGGGACAGGACAGAGCGATACAGTAAGCAGGGTTTACTTATAGTACCTGCACACTTGTTACAACAGGGTTTAATGTTCATAAAACTGTTATGTAATGTTATTTACTTCATATTTTAGACAGCTCAGGCCTGGTTTACAGTACACCGCACATGTCGGCAGCACATTTACAAGAAAATCATTTCATTAATAAATACATCAGACATGGGCTCTGAATTTATTCACAATCTGTTCTTTTATTTGATTTTTGTAAAGAAGCATGCAAGAGAAAACTGTAGCAAAAAAAAAAAAAAAAAAAGCTCTGCGAATCAGGGTAAATGTTCCCCTTTTGCTGCTGACAAATGACAAAAAAAACTAAAAAAAAAATATTTTACAGAGAGTTGTTCATCTCAAGTATGAGCAGTTTGGCATTGTGTCGTTTACCATAGACACGCTCATTTATTAAACTCAATGAAGTGTCCAATAAGACAACTACACTGTCCTGGCCTTCCTAAAAACAAGTAAACATTAGAAGTAGAACTTAAACTCAACAAATACATTTCCTGTAACTTGTTAACAGGTGTAAAATGGATACTTGTATTGTGCACAAAATATGTTGCTCAACATTTATTAACTAAAAACTGCTTCTGAAACATTTTTTGGATTTCTATTAAACCAAGCGTCAAGAACGTCCTTGCTTGGGTGCAAGAAAATAAAATAAATGAATTGCCGGTATCTTGTTTTAGACAATAAAGCAAGATTTAAAAAGTTTGCCATTGAATAATAAATGCACCCACTTTGTTAAATTCACAAAATACACTTTAAAATGTTTTAATAAAACTTTAATAAAAAAGGCTATATGCATTCATCCCCACTTAAAAAGCGTGATCGTATTACAAATTCTGTTGTTTTTGTGACTATCTGTAAACATGTCTACAAAGGGCTCATCGAATACTTGTTCAAGTACTGGAGTTTCATTATGACCATGAGGAATGCTTTGGAAAGTGCAATACACATACACAGTTGGTTCCACCCTTCGCACATTGTAAAATGAAGGGACAACGCCAACGAGTGGCACATCTTCTTCAGTCTTAGTGCACGTAACCCTCACCGGGACGCAAGTGGACTCAGCTGTGGACCGGATACGCCAGCCGGACGTCCAGAGCCTGGTTGTGCTGTGCCAGCGAGGTGTGATGGTAGTGCAGAACGAGATCCTTCAGAGACTTGTGGAGATCGAACGGCTCGACGAATCCGTAGCCGCGCTCGGTGTGGCGAATCACACAGTGCCTCACCTGGCTGCCCACCCTGTGGTTAAAGACATTCAGAGCGGGGTTAGCGAACCAGAATCGGGTCAAGCTGGAAACAAAGGTTCATCTAGCAGATACATTTATAAAACTTTCAAACTTGAACCTACGAACGACGACTTAATAGCCTTACTTTTCCATCTGCGCTCTATTGTACTAATAAATAAAGGCAAAAAGCAGGTTTCCTGAAGAGTCATTAGACTAGTTTTGCAACGCTTCAAGGTTTAGTTCACCAAGCACATCTCGATGTACAATCATTCTCACAAATATCTTCCTTTGTGTTCAGCAGAACAAAGAAATGCATACAGGTTTGGAACAACTTGAGTGTGAGTAAATGATGACAGAATTTTAATTTTGGGTGGACTCTCCCTTTAATTATCTCGTGACTTGAATGACTGAGTGTTAAGATCTCTGATTAAAATGTCTACAAAAAGAAACTCTAAAATTCATTCATTTCATTTCATTTAAGAACTTATAGGGGCAGTTTTACACAACACCGGTTTCAGCTAAAAACGTAAAACTTTTGGCCGTTCGTTTACACCACGACGGCGTTTTGGGACAGGAGATGGCAGATTTAGTGGCTCGTGAACCGAACACAGACTGACACTTTCCTTTAAGCAGAATATCTCAATGGAGATCGCTGAACTACAGTTTACTTGCTTGTTGAGTTTTCAGATTGGCGGCACTATCGCATAATAGAAAGAGCTTGTGCGCATGATTGCCAGATTAAGTAAAACACCGGGCAGAAAATTGATCTTTTGTTACTGTATATCGTTCATGGCCAGAAAAAGATCCAATGTGGATGTCTGATCCAAAATGTCTGCCAATACGGGACTACAGCCTCTGAAGACAACCGATTCACACCACGCTACGGGTAGGGATGGGTACCGAAACCCGGTATTAAACGGGCCCCGGTGCTGAATTTTGAAAGACCGCTGTATCGATAAGCTTGGACGTTATCGGTTCTGCTGTCGGTACTGGAAAAATTATTTATCATTCCTATAAAGACGTTATCTTGAACATGTTTATATCGCCAGCCTTTTCTATATATAAACTATATTTTAATTAAACCATTTGTCTGTGATGCAAATTTGAAATTCGCAGTTCAGCAGAGAGAGAGAGAGAGAGAGAGAAGAGAGAGAGAGAGCGATCTCTCACGCAAAGCCACAGCACGCGCAACACGACAGCCCTGCTTAATGAGTGACAATGAGGACAGAACTAAACATTCAACGTGGTTACACTTTAGATGTGGGATATTATTCTAATATATATTGTATTTCGGCTTCCAAAGATTATAAAAAGAAGATATTTGAGATAAAACCGTTAAAAAACAAGACGCATGATCTGTCCAGCTTAACGTCCTTCACTTCACAGCCCAAACGTACCGTCAGAATCAGCACGATCGATGATTGTTGCAAAATGCTGTCTTCTACTGTTGCAAGATCAAAAAATGGCTATTAAAAACACAAAAGCCTGCGCAAGAGACGCTGTCCACAAGGCGGTGCGCGCTCCGAAGCGGACTGCAACGAGGCAAGAAAAGTAGCCTATACTTTGGGCTTCGTGTGTCCTCCTTAACAATCAAATATACATACTGTCAAAATGACCAGCTCTGAGATTCGCTGAAACACAGTTTATTCACTTAAACACAATTATGTCTTAAATGGACGTAAATAATAGGGAGAAATTGATGGTGCTTCAGTTACCGGTTACAGATTAGATTTGCTCTCGGTCTTAAAGGGGCAGCAGTCTAATAGCCTAAACCTGCTGACGATTCAGCCATTAATGCAAATCAAACAACAAAAGGCAGAGAAAATCACTCGCAGCTTTTGAATGAGTAACTTTAGATTTAATAAGCATTATTCTATCTATGATAAACTATACAGTGCTATTTTATATTTGATTACTAAATTAGGTTTCTTTTCAGACAGAAACAATTACCTGAAAAGATATGTTAGTACACCTTCCTGAAATTAAAGCACTTTTGTATATAATTTGTATCTTTGATTGATTTTATTCTTGTGTTTGTACTTGTTTTTTTTTCTTATGTGTCCTTTTTGTATATAAAACAAAAAAGCCTGCACATTGCTGCATAACAAAAATATATTTTTCTTCGCTTTGCTTTTTCTATTTTACATTTCAAAATGTAGAGTTTAATTATGTTCTTAATTCTTAAAAAAAAAAAAAACACCAAAAAGAACCGATAAGAATACCGTTAAAGTACCGGATCGATAAGCGGTATCGGTAAGAGTAGTAATACCGATAAAACCTTAACGATACCCATCCCTAGCTACGGGACGTTTCCATCTTGTGCTAATTAAGAAACAAACAGGACAAAGATTGATGACTTACACCACAGAGCAGGCGTAGCAATCCTTCGAGCTGCTGTTTCGGATGAGGAAAGCACCGGACGGTTTCCCGTGGAGAAGCTCCTCCGCCTGACCTCGCCCGAGATCTCCCACAAACCATCGCTCTTCCTCCAGAAGCTCCACGCTCTCCTCTCGCTCCTCTTTTACCTCGTATGGAGACCTGAGGAAATAAACACTCGTTGATAAGCAAAAAGCTCTGGAAACGCCTCATGCAGCTCCAAGAGCATTGTCCCATCGTCTCCTACGGACCTTTCTGATCTATTGCATCAGTCGTGTTCCCCTTTCAATTCGTTAATAAAGACGGGAAATTTAACCGGTTTAAAAGGTGCCATAATATTGAGAGATTTTTTTTAATCAGTGATGACGGGTAAATTATTTCGAAATGCAATAAAATTCATAATAACCGGTGTTCGCAAAGTCAAGTATCCCACGTTAAGGTATATAGTTCATCATGAACTGAAACACAATGGTTATGTTTTTATGAAACCTGAGAGAATTCTGTCCCTCCATTAAAAGGCCATTCACCCAAAACTTTGCAACTTCATTAAGTACAGTTCAACTTCCATTTACCATATTTGAAGTGCTCAATGTATGTGTGTGTGTTTATATGGGAATAAAAGCTTAAATTAAACCCGTTCATCAAATAAAGCACATGTGTCTCTTCTAAAGCCTTGGATTAAAACATTCAATTCATATGGATTAGTTTTATGATCTTCTTATTAACTTTTTGATGCGTCAAATTTATGAGTGAATGGACTTGCAGATAGAGGAACAGAAATCTCTCAGGTTTCATTAAAAAATATCCTCAGTTGTGATGATGATGAATGAAAGTCTAAAACCCCAAATCCAAGTATTAAACTTGAAACTTATGAAATCGGTTTTATTTATTTTTTTCTGGATTTTGTTTTAATAGTCTGATTGTCTAATTAACTGAAAATTAATTCTTTACAAGTTTATAAAAATAAAAGAAATTGAGATGTTTCATTATTTTCTGGATTATGCTGTTAAGAGGTTTAATTCAATTTAATTACCAGAAATCATGTCTAATCAATTGAATTCATAAAACTTCACTACTTTACTTTACAATAAAAATGTTCCATTTTGTCAGAAATTCTCGTCTTGTTTTCATTTTTCAGTATTTATGATTTAATACACATTGTGATCAAATGAAGGCATAAAACATTAACAGTTTATTTAGATATTTAAAATGTAGTCAAACCAAACTAACAATTTATTTATTTTAGGTAAATTTCAGCACAAGAATTTATTTTTAATATTCCTTAAAAAAAAATATCAGCAAAATATTTCTGTCACAATTTCTTCAAATCAAACCAAACTTTTATTTTGACAGGTTGTCTTGAGTTTCTGTGTGTATATGACGATAGTTTTAATGAAATGCTGATGAAGTGAATGTTGGTAACCGAACAGTTCATGGACCCCATTGACTTACATAATATTATTTTTCTCCATCCAGTGGAAGTCAATGTTCATCAAATGTTCGGTTACCGACATTCTTCAAAAACCTTTTTTGTGTTCAACAGAATAAAGAAATTTCTACAGGTTTGGGTAACTTGAGAAAAGGATGTAAAAGATGTGTGAACTGCTAGGGTTTACGAGCACTCACTTTGTCAGATGACTGTGGACTGAGACGGGGAAATCCTTGCAAGAGTTCTCTTGAGAATAACACTGGTCTTTTGAGATCTCGGTCATACTGACAGGCTCTAAAGTATTTGTCCTTTGGATTTCCTGTAAAGCGACAGGGGAAAATTCGTAGAAAAGCAATGTATTTGACATACATTCCTTAACATTTTTCAAACACTATTACATCTGCAAATATTTGATCTTGAAAAGCTTACCTGTAATAAAGTGGTGCAAGCATCATATAGCTGGTCATACTCTGCCGTCTTCTGAAACAGTCTTAAACATTCTTGAAGTTTCTCTCTGGTGGCGCTCAAAAACTCTTCCTTCACAGGTAGATCCTGAACACGCAATATAAGGCATTTGCTTATTGACACAAAAACACACCGACTAAAGTTTCCTTTCAACTAGGATCACAACGAAATTCACTGAACGGTACCGACCGTGTGACAGTGGGACACGGGATAAGCCAGTGTGACATCCAGTGAAGTGTTGTACTGGACTAAGCTCCTTTGCCTGTAGTAAGATATCAGATCCGGCACCGAGCTGAAGGTCAGAGGCTCCGAGAATCCAAATTTTCCATCTCGGTGTTGGATCCTGATGAGTTTGTTGGTGCCATTGTTCCTGTGGAGAGAAGTGCTTTCAGACACACAGCCTTTTTTCTGGTACAATGTATTTCTCCATGTAGAGGTCATGTGTGAAAAGAGCCCATTGTTGAAATCCCAACCAATCAAATCGGACAATTTGCCATCTTAATCCTTAAACTAATCCTTTAAGAAATCAACTTTGAAAGTTCCCATTATTGTCTCGGTGCAAAAAAAATTTAATTTGTGAAAACAGTGGTTCAGTCTACAAGAACAGTGTCTTTATCGCCAACTACTGGGAAGTGTTAGCAAAATACAGCGTTTTTAGTCGTGTAAACGGGATTGTTTTGACAGCATTGTCGTCTGAACGCAAAAATCATAAAGGAAAAACCTTTCCGCTTTTAGTAAATCATTGTTGTGTAAATGTACCTTTAGACAGATTCTAAAAGTGACACTAATTTTGAATGACTCTGATTTGTGAACATATATTATTTGTGATAGATGTGTGATTGGTAGCAATACAGACAAGACTGTTTTAATGGCTAATGATTAGTTGGCCAATGTCAGTACCAGAGTCACAAATCTGCTTCACTAAAATCTAGAATCAGGAATCCAGAACCATGCAATCCTTACCTCACAGTTAATGTGTATTCTCCCTGCACCCTGCAGGAGGCATTTCGGACCAGGAAAGCACCGTCGGGCAAGCCGTGGAGGATTTCGTTTACCTCCTCCCTAATAGAAGTGGTATAAATTCAATAATATGCAGACAAATTGATAAAGACAAAAATACTAAGACTTATTCCGGCTACAGTAAATAGTTCACCTTGATATGTCAGCCCAGTACCACCCGGCCTCCTGTAATGAATCGCTGGGCTCCGTTTCTCTTGGTAGATGATCGTCACTACCGATGTCTGAAGAAGAAACATAATATGAGACAACCTTTTACTGAACAGTTCAGAAAATGTTACATTTCTACAGGACAACCTCCAGCAAGAAATTGTCAATTTGTCAGGTTTTGGTCTCAGATAATGAAACTCAATCCACTATTTATCTATTTTATTTGAAAAAATATATATAAACAAGTCAGATTGTTTTGTATAAATGCATTTATCTCGAACTGCCATGACAATTTTAACAAAATTAATGATATAACATATATTAACATTGAATAATTAGAAAGCAAGCAATATAAGAAAGCAAATATCTAACGTTAAACGTCCGTGTATGAGGGAGTTTTGCCGACCACGACAAGCAGAAGGCCAGCAGACAGACACTTAAATGATCTTATTAACCCATCAGTAATACTGTTAACAAGACACCGCAGGTTTGTGTAAAGACTGCTGTCTTGAACTGTGCCTGAAGTGACAGCTGTGGACAGAACAGCGCTCGGGATTTCCCTGGGATCCCCGCTCGCGCATTCACTATGGAAGAGGTGACGGCCTGTGAGCATTCAGTACACGACGTGACGTTATTCAGCGGGTCTCTGTGATTGGCTTAAATTAAGACTTCGCCTAACCGCCGAACAAGGCACTGTGCTCATGAATACTAATCAAGTTACGTGATTGGACGCTCAAAGACTGTTACCAAGGGACGTCACCATTGCCTATTTAATATTCATGAGCTCACGCTTCGCCATAGTAGGATTGGTAGTTTCGTGGCCCGATACTCCTGCACTGCTGACCTCAATGAACTCATCGATGACATGTTGAGACATGCAAGACTCAACGAATAAAAAGCCCGAAACGGGGCTAACTCACTTTTATATGATATTAACTAACTTTCACAATTGTTATGTTAATGAATACGGCTATATTGTTGTTCCCAAGATTAACGCTTGACACTTGGGATTGTGTTTGAACGAGAACAAAGACAGTGTCATTTAAACAGAAAACACACCAAATATTAAAAGATGAGAAGGAAAACAATAAAGAAATATAGTTACGAACCAGTGCTTGCTGCGCTGACACGACTCATTTCGATGTAGGAAAATGGTTCAGCAGACATCCTTTATTTAACAATGGGTCGTGTTCGCGAAGTGAATTAAGCCCTTTAAATACTGTAAATCGGACCGTCAAAACAACTGCGAACGCTTGTCTAATTGTTATATCTAAAATAACGAAGAAAGCAACGGCAGAACAATGTTAAAAATCCGAAAAAAGCCCGGTTTTCCACTTCTTAATCCAAGTGTCCGGTTGTAAAAAAAAAAAAAAAAAAATTGGCAGCCAGTCATTCAAAATAAACCGTCGCAATAACGCTTATGATCATGTACCAGAATAACATACATCATCATCACGTTCATAACGCTAAGTATTAATCTAAATACCCAAATGAACAGAGTGTCTGGAGTGAATCAAACTCTTATAAGGTTTGGGACGATGTAAGTGTCTGAGGACGATACCATCGGTCTGCATAGGGAACACTTCATACAGGATGTCGTCGTGTTGTGTTTTGTATTATTTTGTTGTCATTGTAAATTGTCATTGCTTTTAAAACATGCTATAAATACATTTTAGAAACGGAGTATTAGTTGTATGCTCTTATTTAAAGCCACTGTTGTGTTAATGTAAGGAGGGATACCCCCTTTCCCCGCAACTATGTCACGGTCCGTTTTTGTCCTGCGTATATCGCATTGTGCCAATTGATACTTTTCTTTAACTTGTTAAAAGTCCAAAGTTGGAGTTTTCTGCACACTGACATTGTGATGTATATATATTTTAAGAAAAAATATTCTGTTTAAATGAATAAAATATGGCATGAGGTTTTGTAACTTAAATATTATGAAGGTCTGCACATAGGGGGAGTTCCTTCGGTGAAGGGAACATTGTGTACTGTTGGCATTGTCTGCCTTGAGCTCATGAGACAGTGAACGTTTCACTCCTAAACAGTGTGCACTCAAACACTAGTTCTTTTTAGCTTGCAAAGCAGCATGCTTTTCAGATACATGAAGACATGTGAATTGCTTTTGCATGATATTTATAACTTCTCGAGGAAGTCATGACACAAAGCACAGAAATCCAATATTACGTGAAATTATATTAAGGCTACATATCAACGATAAAATAAGTCTATTAATTAAGACAATATATATCGCGATTGATCACACAATATTAAAATGATAAAGTTACTCTAAAAAAGTTAATTATATTAATATTTAATAAGTAAGTAAGTAAATAATTAATTACTAGCTACTAAACACCTTCGGATTACTAATTACTTTCTAAATCCCATATCTTTCAATCAGTAACAAAACTGCACTTTTTATTCTATCAAATAAACAATGTACAAGTGCGTAGTTCTTGAACTGACCAAATTTTTCTCATTAACATTTTAACATAAAACCTTGATGTTAAATCCCCTATTGATTTATTTTTGTTTTATAATTGTTCTTTAATCTCTACATCAAGTAACTGCAATTAAATTACAGAAAAATTATGAGAAGTCTCTTAATTTACCTTTTCAAAGGAAAGTGAATTACACTAATTAGATTACTTATTAATTATTACAACAGACACTAAAAATGTATAAGATGTTTTAATAATACATAATTTCACATTGAATCGGCAAAACAACATAAAGACGGTATATTTTAAAATGTAAAAGTCGTTTAATTAATACAAACTTTATCAAGAATATATATATATATATATATTTTTTATTTATTTATTTTATTTTTTTTTACCAACTACAATGATTAAATGCATACAGTGCTTCCCGGTGCTTGTGAGCATGAAACCAATAGCTTGATCAAGCCAGGAAGGGAATATGGATGCTGCGTTAAAGGTTTGGTGGACAATTTTCATAGAGGCTAGCAATAGCGAGTTAGCTTTGAAAGCTTAAGATCCCACCCTCCCTTTCGAGTGTCTCCAAAGCCACACCTCCTCCACAACACATGATCACAGCAGGCAGCAAACAAATGCGACAGCTTTAAATTACCTCATGTCTCAAAGCACATTACATTACAATAATAATATAGGTAAACAACTTCCAGTTGTTATGGCGTGAACTGGTTAAGCTGGTTGTTTTGGTTCAGGAGGAACTGTAAAAGATGGCTGCTGTTTCGTTATATATGATATTTTACCATGATACAGATTAAAAAATATCAATTGGAAAAATTAACATGTTTTTGACAGACCCTATGATTTATATAATAAAAAAACACAGTCTAGTCTATTATTCACTTTTCGTCTGAATTACTGCAGTGTAAAGTGATATTAAAATGCATAACAAATGCATAACACTATAGTGTTATGCATTTTAATATCACTTTACATACAGTTTTAATATGTAGAACAAATTTGCAGGGTCTGCCATAGGCCTACATAAGAGGTGCTTCAGATATAGATATTATAGATCTGATTTGACTGGAAATGCCACACAACTTGCCAGTTTTCTGTTCTTTATTGCTCCTTGCAAGTGTTACAACAATGACAATAATAATACAAATCAAATTTGTTCATTTTAAGATCTGTCTATTGTGTATGGAATAGTCTCTGGGCAGAAATACATAACTGGCATCTCTATCATTCAGACCAAACCAATATTGTTTCAACCGCTTGTTTTAATTTGCAATTAATTAATCACAAACCAAAGTTGACCCACTCAGAGTCAAGTAAAAACTTTGTTATGTTGGAATGTGATTTCTCTTAAACTCCCATTTTCATTATTGTGGCAATTCATGGCAATAAACATCTTTACATATTGAAATGTCAGAATAGATGTTTATTTATGTACTGGTTTTCCGTACACTGACGACACAATTTCCAAACACGTCACTGAGACAATATACATTTCCATTTCATAACCTTTTCAAATAGTCAAATCTCTTGGTGTCTAATACAAACAATCCACTTAAAATAGAACAACATATAATTTGCTTGTGGCCAGATCACATTGCTCTTTTCCACAAGAGATACAGTGTCTATTTCTGGTCGTTTATGTTAGGAAAAACTATGCCAAGATCAAGATGTGCGTATACAGAGCCATGGTCATTGTGTTTCCGGCATCACAGCTTCATTCTGTCTCTGTTAGCAAACAAAGAATAGAGAATATGAATCATTTATTGTGTGCTATGGCTTCTACTGCACTGCATTTGGTTGGTTAACTAGTAATGACCGAAGTGTTACTACATGAGGATTTGTGCAAACGTTTGAGATTTTTGGTGAACTTTAGTATACGTTTAGAAAATGTCTTTAGTAACACTTGAGTCATTACTAGTTAGTTCCAATGATCTTCACATTATAATACGAATCCAAATAATTAGTAATTCCCACAGAAGTATCTAGTAACACTTTCATCTGTGAGCTATTACTTACTAATTCGTTAATAAGAGTTTCTTTTAATTAATAGTAGTTACTAGATTGTCAGTAGTTCTCTGGGAAGTATTAAAAAATAGTAGTTATTGATTACTTAATAGTGAACTACCACTTTCGTCTGTGTGCTATTACTTACTAGTTCGTTAATCAGAGTTTCTTGTTAGCTAATAATAGTTACTAGATTGTTAATTTTGTGTTACTCATTGGTTCCTATTCATTAACGAAGGAACCGTATTCTAAAGTGTTACCGCAAATAAGCATCGATATGTATTTTTTTCCTTAAAATACCAGTGTGACTGGCAAGGGGGGCGTGGTTCAGCGAAGTCTGCAACGGAAAAGAGAGACGAGCAGTAGGTCAAGTGGAGATGACGAACACCTGTGTCTTGTTGCGGTAATTGGCGTGGATATAAGCCACACTGGAAAGAGAACGGAAGAGAGAGAAGGACCGAGGAATCGTACAAGATCACTGGGGAAAGAGTATAGTGAGATAACCAAAAGGACAGAGCCTGTTTTGTTAACTACTGTCTGTGCTGCAGTGAGTCTACGGCAAATGTGCTGTGGGCGTGACTTTTGTTTGTTGTTATTTTGAAGTTATCCTAATAAAAACTTACGAGTCCCGGTCACGCCAACCCTGAACCTCATCACAATGCAGAAATCCGGGAAGGAAGAAGAACTCCATCTGTCGCAGCCCCGCCCACTCACGCGCCTCTAAATAAAATGGGATGATCAGGATGATACAGAGGCTTTTGTGGATTTATTTGAGAGGTCCGCAGAGGCCTGTGGATGGCCCCCGTGGACGGGCCAATCATACCTCATACCTCTGCTCTCCGGAGAGGCGCAGGTGGCCGCACAACAACTGCCAGTTCAGAAACTTCTAGTCTATGAAGACCTGAAATGCGCCATCCTGCAGCAACCCTTTGTGATGGTGCAACATCTCCGGGACTCCTGCCACAGATGGCTGATGGCTGAGGGAAGCGATGTCGTCGATAATGTGGTGCTGGAGTAGTTCGCGGCATGGCTTCCGAGGAAGACCGCGCAGTGGATCCAGTGCACTGCCCGACGTCGTTGAACCAGGCCATCCAACTGGCTGAGAACCAGATGGTGGCGTGCCCCTGGATTGGGGTACCAGCAGCTTCTCTCTCTCCCTCTTCCCCTGTGTTTTCAACCCTGTGTCTCCTTCCCCCTCTAAACCTAGGTCACAAGGGGGTTTTACACCCCTACATGCACCCTCATGGAGGCGTGGGCCAGCAGCAGAGCCGACAGTTGGTCCCAGTGCACCGCCCAGAGGGGTGGGGCTGACAACCGTTCCTCTCTCCTTTCCACGCCAATTCCTTGACCTGCTTCCCGCCACTAGTGAGGCGGGCAGGTCTGGGCCGCCCTGTTGGCGTTGCGGGGACCCGGGTAATTTTTTTATCATTGTCCAGTGATGGAGATGGGGACACTGATACAGGTCCTGTACGCTCCGCAGGCCACCCCGATCAATTTGGCCTGTACCAGATACCTGGGAGTATTAAGGGGGGTACGTATCACGCTTTGGTAGATTCAGGATGTAACCAAATCTCCATTCATCAAAGCCTGATTCAACCAGATGCATTGTATAAGAGCCATGTTTAAAGTACGGTGCTTACACGGGGAGGTGGTGAACTACCTCTTAAAGAGCACCTATCATGGATTTTTGAAAATGACTGTTCATATGGTGTGGAATATAGCTCTAAGGGAATGAAAACATCCTGCAAAGATTTATATCTGAAAGTGCACCGTATATAAAGTTATTGTCTTTCAAAAGTGAGAGTCGACTCTGAGTCTATGAAATGAATTGTTTTTGAAACGAGTCATTAGCTGTTACATCATCATAGATAGGTCATTGGCCACTCCCAACAACTGCACACGCAGACAAATGTGTAAACTTGAAGTGACGTCTAGAACACATGAAGAGTTCAGATGCCAAAGCCTCTAAGTGCCATTTGAAATTTTCTTCTAGAATGATCATTTTTATCAAGCTAGTATATTTAAGTTCATTAATTTCACTTAAATGGGGATGAAGATTACCTTTGAATTGTCA